CAACAACATTGGACAAACTACTAGTACATCAAATTTCTCCGCCTCTATGGAGGAATGGTAAACGATAGATTGTTTACAGAAAGTTGTGTGAGAAAATTCTCTACAATAATTTAAACTCAGAAGGCTTTAGAAAATCTTAAGAATCAGGGTGTCGTGTAGTAGACATAATTCACACCATTTCTAGTATGATATATGATATATGTGACATTGAATATTTGTTGGAGTATACATGTTTGTATTAGGAGTTCCCCCCCACTCTCACAGGCTAAACTGGTGTTATGTTGAAATCTTTTACACGTAAAAGGATGTGGCTCGGCCAGGAGATGGGGATGGGCCGTGTCTGGAGAGATACGGGACACCCTGGTGCTGAATGGTGATGGATATCATGGAAATCCTCGGGCAGATAAATGTGAATGCAGCGTTCAGTAAATTTCATCAACTCCGGACACTGAATTGTTCTTCCTCATCACCAAAAAAAAAAAAAAAAGAAAATCTTATTAACTTATGGACTCTGAATGGAAGAAAAGGCTGACTGCCGAAATCTTGGCTTCAGGCGGAATTTTTCCAATAAAACCGGCTTGTGCCAGGATGGAGGTGTGTGGGCATAGAGAAAACCTCTGCTGAGGCTGACTCCTTGTTGCACACCCGGTGCCGACCCCGGGCTCTGTGCTTTCCTTGTGGCTGGCTAGATGGAATTTGATTGCAAATAAATATTTTATTTTTTTATTTTAACTTGGCGGGACAAATTCTCATTTATAACAAGGGCAACACGAGGGAGTGCGTATGAGGAAGGAGTGCGCCGCTCGGACGCTGTCCCCTCACGGCTCCGCGCCTACAACACCCAGCAGGCCCCGCGGCGCCGCTTCCGCCGCCGGGGCGGGCCGAGCTCGGGGCCGCCGCCGCCGTCATTGCGGACGGGACCATGTCTCGCTGCAGCCCCGCCGCCGCCCGCCTGCTCGGCCGCTTCCTCCGCCGTGAGTACCGGGACGAGCCCTCCCGGCCCCGCCGCGGGGGCTGCGGGCAGCGCCGGGGCTGGGCCGGGCCGGGCAGGGCAGGGCCGGGCAAGGTCACGGCGGAGCGCGGCCCGCGGGCAGCGGGCGGGACCCGGGCTGGCCCCGGCGGTCCCGGCGCCGTTCCCGGCACCGCTGGGCGTTCGGAGCGGGGCGGGATCGCTCTGCCCGGGGCAGGGCACGCCTGGCTGCGAGGGAGCCGTGTGTGGATGTAGTGGGAAGTTTTCCCTGGAGGGTGGGCGGCCGCACGTGTGGGGCACGGGGAGGTTTTCTCGGCCGTGTGGACCCGCAAAGACTCCGAAGGGCAGGGGCCGGAGGGGGCCCGTGGTCACTGCGAGGGCTGGAGGCCTCTGGAGGGCCGGGGATTACCCTGTGGTTTCAGCACAGCCTGGTAAAGTTCTTTCTCGTGCCAGGAATAAGATTGTGGAGTTCCCTTTTTTGGAGAGCACGAGCAGTCTGAGACTAGTGTTTCAGCTCGAAACATTTAATTTGTGTTGTTCTGAACATCACAGTTAAAAATAAAGTGCTTTTCTCCCTCCTTTTTTTTTTTTTTTTTATTTTTTTTTTTTTTTTTTTTTTTTTTTTTTTTTTTTTTTTTTTTTTTCTTTCCGGTGTGCTTTTTTTTGGCTGTATCCTCTCGGAGAGGAGACTGGGAGTGATAGAACGAGGGTAGTAGCTTCAAATTTGAAAGAGGGGAAGTTTAAATTGGATATTAGGAAGAAATGCTTTATAATGGGGAAACTGGAGCAGGTTTCACAGAGAAGATGTGGCTGCCCCATCCCTGGACGTGTTAAAGGCCAGGTTGATGGGTTGAAGAAGCCTGGTCTAGTGGAAGGTGTCCCTGCCCGTGGCAAGGGGTTGGAATGAGATGGTCTTTAAGGTCCCTTCCAACCCAAACCACTCTGTGAGATCAGTGTGGGTATGCCCAGACACAAGAAAAGTTACTAGGAACGTAAACAGAGAAAATTGTGCATTAACGTGGTTCTTGTAGCTGAAAATGAATGAACAAACTTAAACCTACCTCACTGGACTGCACACAAAGTGTTTTTGTCCCGGTGGGATGGTGACTTGCAGGTCAGGTAATGTGATCTCACAACCGCAGGCTGGTCTGAGTAGTTCCTGTGGCACACCTACTGTCCAGATGGGTATCCATTCCTGCCTCTTGTTCTCCACAAACAGGATCAGAAAACTATTTATGCTGTTAACTTCTGCCACTTCAGCTTTTTGAATTGGCTCCCCTGGGCCCAATAAGAATTGGTTCTGATGGAGGGGAACAGATGGGAATGTAGCACCTTCCAATTCAGTTTAATTTATACTCCCAGCAAAACTACTCTTGGGTGCAGTTTTATGTGTAAAAACCCCGCATTATTCCCTTTGCAAATAGCAGTAAGAGATTCAGGGAATTGTTATCAAAATTATTTTAAACCCCGCATTATTCCCTTTGCAAATAGCAGTAAGAGATTCAGGGAATTGTTATCAAAATTATTTTGAGGGGTAGAAAGGAGGAAGAAATCTAAGTGGCTCAAGAAGTGTCTTTATGCAGCTGTTCAAGTCTTTTACAGAAACTCCTGCAAGATGAAACAGTCCTTCATTGAAAATCTTTGGTTTGATACTCTTTATTCTTTAAAGACTGCTGAGACCTTAAATCTGGGCTTTGTACATACATTTTCACTAACAATTAACATCTGCTTCTCTGAGTGATTTGAAATCATGAGTGTCCAGTGTGTTCTGTTGCAGAAGAGATACAAATCTTGTGTTTGTTGCTGAAGGAAACATGCAGGGTGTGTATCCCTAAGGTTGAGATCAGGAAGTTGTGGAAATGGAGTATGAAATCTGTCAGTGAATGGTGAGTGCTGTTCAAAGGTCACCTCAGAGCACTGCTGGTGTATGGACAGAATCAGGAGAAACCTGTGCTTGTCCATACTCTTGAAGAGTTTTTGTAGGCATTTGAACTGACTGAAGAGTCAGGATTAAGGGTTCCATTGTCCTCGATGTGTTGGAAGGTTTTGGAGAGCTCTTAGATTAAAAGATTACAGTAATTATGTGAGTAATCTTAGCAAAGAATTGCTGCAGAAATAACAGCCCAAACTGAAGCATTCCTTAATTGTTTTTATGTCAACAGTGTGGAGGGAGGAAAGCTCACAAACCTTTACCTGCTGACATTCTTGGTGGAGGATACCTGGGGGAAGAGCAGCTTGTTGCTTGTAGGAAGCAGTGGATTTGTACCAAGGAGGGACTTGGATTAGGAAAGAAATGTGTTGAAAGAACTGAAATTTTTCTGAATGTCATTTCCCACTAATTGTAGATCTGTTTGAATGTGATGGGTGTAGTGAAGGCATTGCATCTGCCCTTCACAGCCCAATTAATTTACTTAATTCCTCAACTCATGGTCACAGATCTGGGTTTCCATAATTAACGGGAATTTGGCAAGGGAATGGTGCAAGAAGAGAACCTGGGGACTGATAAACAGGAATCCTGGAGTGCATAATCCTCTTAAAGGAGTAAGATATTTTGAATAATCCCTCAATAGCATAAAAACGTCTTTGTCATGAAGAAGCATCTTCTGCTAATGTAGCTGATAACTTCAGGGGTGAGTTCTGGGGATGGGTTTATGCTTCTCTGCACTGTCAGGAGCTCCCCAGAACTGTTCTTGTGGCTTCCTCAGGCCTTGCATTGGTTGGCAGAGGAAGGAGAAAGAAGATGGCATAAAAATGTAAATTAAACACAGAAAACATTGAAAGGAACTCTGAGCAGCAAGCTGAAGGCCCATAACTGATGGGAAGTGTGGAAAAAAGATACAGCATTTTAAGTAGCACTCCTCATACCCCTGAGCTTCCCCTGCACTCGCCTCCATTTTCCCCACTTACATTGGAGCTCCTATGATTTCTAAGGCTTTCTTCTTTCCTTGCATAGGTTATGGCAAAGAAAAGGAGTATCTCCCAAGTTCTCTGGCTATTTCAAGGTGCAATAGAGGAAGAATTTCACTTATTCCTCTTCCCTTAAATAGGTAATAGAAAAGAAAGGGAATATCTTCCTTCATCTCCAAGTTCTGTGGGTATTTCAAGGAGCAATAGAGGAAGAATTTCAGTCTTCTGGCAATGTAGGTGTCAGCTCAGGTCACTGTGGAGAGGGATCTGCTGTTTCACCTTGCTTTTATACTGGGCTTGTTTTATAAGCAGCCTCCAATGATATGCCTCATCTTCCAACTTTCCTTATTTTTTTGGTTTGGGGTAAATATGGTTAAGAAGGAGACACTTTGATTGGATTTGTGTCCATAGGAAATTCTATGAGAAGCCCTGAAAATAGTAAATTTTGAGCTCTGTATAGTTTGGATGAAGAAGAGGTTCGCGCCTTTAGTATCTGTGTTGTCACCTGGTTTGCACAACCCAAATAGAGAAGGGCTTGGACTAGATCACCTCTAAAGGTCCCTTCCAACCCAAACCATTCTGTGATTCCATGAAATGTAGCTTGAGTTGCATTGTTTTAAATGAGATTTGTGCCTGAGAGGTGTTGCTGCTCAAAGAGGGCCTGAAAGCTCAGTGTAAATGGTATTTAAATACCCTCTGTGCTTTAACATACCTTGTAAATGGATCCGTTTTCTTTTTAACATATAAATTCCTGTTTGGACTCCATGATAAATAATAGGGTATTTTTCTAGAAAGGCTTGTTAATTATAATGCACAAATGAGCTTTAAGTCCTGCTTGAGCCTTGGGATTGTGAGATTTTTTTCCTAAGAGGTAAATGAGGTGGATTTTCCAGTTATTTGTACTGCAGTGAGTTCTACTCTTGGCTGGGGCCTCGTTGCCTGGAAATGCCAGAGGAACCAGCAGCAGTGTGTGGTGCTGGAGTAACTGCCCCTTAGTTTCTAATAAGGTTTCTTGACTCTAAAACAGCTGGTGTTCCATATACAGGCTTATGCCCCACTGCTAAATTTAGATATTACTTTTCAAATCTCCCCTGAGACAGCAGGGGTTGGGTACTTGAGCACTTTTCATAACTGCTGGTTTTCCTATACAATGGACCAAAGTACGCTCTTGACACAATACATCTCACTTTTTAGCTAAGTAGAAGTTAAAGTACTTTAAGAAGAAAAGCCAAAACAAATCATCTTGCTATTTGTGTAACTTTATGTTTAAACCACAAACTGAACAGGGGTGGGGCAGAAATGAAGATTGTGTCTGGAAAGTTTGTCCAGTCTCTTATTTTATTTTTAATACACTTTGTTAAAGTCTGTTACAGGCCTTTGTTGGACATGGTAATATTGTCTTAGAACTCTGACTTGACAAAATTTAACATTTTCCCTGTGCTTTTGGGAAGAGATGGATTTGATAAGATTTGTCCTTATGCTCTAAGACTACATCTGGAGCCTTCACCTTTGTAACTTGGCCTGTAATTCACACGTGAGCATTAAAATAGCATCACCGATGGGTTTGGCTTTGCTGGTTCACAGCTGAAGAATATTTTTAAATTTTTTTTTTTTCCTCCAGTCTTCATGAAGCAGCATGCATTTACACCTAAGCAGACAGATTTTTTTTTTTTTTTGGTAGTAAAATCAATTGTCTGGACTGGTTTGGAAGTTGTGAAGCAGATCCTGGGTGGAAGTTGAGACTTGACTTCTATTTCTGACTCATACCTGCTGTGAACTTGGGCATGCCATTTCCACTTTCCTTCCACCTGTTTCCTTCTCATCTTGTATCTGTCTTAACTATTGAAATTGCCAGCTGCCTGCACCCAGGGCTTGCTGTTTGTGCCACGTGGAGCAGAACCTCATCCTGACCCATGGCCCTGCTGCTCTCCCTCTGCTGATAACTGGGGCAAACCTTGCTGCTGCAGGTGGGGCCAGGAACACAAGTACAGAACTGTATCAAGCCATTTGAAAAACCCCAGAAACTCAGACTCATCCAGCCCAGAGACTGCAAGGTGATTTTTAGGGCTTTTTTTCATAAATCCCTTCAAAAATATATTGCTCTCCAGACATTTGCCCATACTAAGCTGCCTCTGGAGACAGCAAAGGGCTCAAATCTATAGCCAGGATTTTTGAGCCAGCTGTATTTTCTCTGAAGAAAGGCCATACAGTAATGTAAGAAGCACGTGGTTTTCAAGGGTAAATCTATACAAAGCTTAAATTTTAAGCTGCTGTTTAGATATCAGGGCCTACTTTTTTTTTTTTTTTTGATAGTATAGAAAATATTCAAAAGCTTTTTATCCTTGAAAAATGTATTAATACTGTCTTCTGAAAATGGAGGATTGACAAACAAGCTTTCAAAAACTTTCTTGTGCAATGTTATCTGAAAATAGATCTGGAATGAGCAGTTGAACTGGGAGTGTAAAATTGCTGTGAGGTGTAGAGAAATGTGACTATTTGTCAGTTTGTCAGCAGCAAGAAGGCACTGGAGTCTCCCTTACTGGAGATATTCAGGAACCATCTGGACACAGTCCTGTGCAATGTGCTGTAGGATGACCCTGCTTGAGCAGGGAGGTTGGACCAGCTGACCCACTGTCATCCCTTCCAGCCCAACCCATTCTGTGATTTTTATTTTTTTCAAAGTACTGAAATTGCTCAGTGGTAGGTAGGTGGCTAGCAAGCATCCCTCTCCTACTTTGCAGGAGGATTTGTCAGTGGCTGGGCACAGGCTCTGTAGAACTTAGATCTGAATCAGTTTGTGTTGCCTGTTTGTTCTTTCCCCTTGCAGGCCCATTTTCAGTCTGTCATTGCCATTCTCCTGGAAGCCTGGAGTGTTCTCCCCAAGGCCTCGCTGGTGGTAAGGACTGTAGGAGCTCCTTCTCAAGGGGAATCATCCTCTGCTGTCCTCAGGGTTGGGTGTCACCCAGGCACATCTCGTGACAGTGAGGGACTGCCTGAATGGCTGGGCTCAGGTAGATCAATTCCCTGCTCTCCTGACCAGCATTCCAGCTGTTCCTGGTTTTGTTTTTTCTCTCCTTTGCTGAAGGCAGGCTGCTTTTCACCAGATGTGCATTTGAGTTGATTCAAAAAAGACCAAGTCCTCAGCCTGGGACAAAGAACATCCTGTGCTGTCTTCTGTAGCAGTGGTTTCTCTCTCCCCTCCCACAGCCAGCCTGGCAGCCTTGTTCATTAAATCTCAGCCTTAGACATATTTTCATAAAATCACAGAATCACAAAGTGATTTGGGTCAGAAGGTGACCTTAAAGATCATCTTGTTCCAAGCCCCTGCCATGGGCAGGGACACCTTCCACTAGACCAGGTTGCTCCAAGCCCCTTCCAGCCTGGGCTGAAACACTCCAGGGATGGGGCAGTCACAGCTCTGGACAACCTGAGTCAGGGCCTTACCATCCTCACTGTACAGGATTTTTCCCCAATACCCAATTTAAATGTGCTCTTTTTCATTTTGAAACCATTCACCCATGTCCTGTTATTACATGCCCTTGTCAATAATGTTATTCCATCTTTCCTTCAAGTTCCCTTCAGGTACTGAAGGGAATTGAGTTACCCCAAAGGCTTCTCTTTTCTAGGCTGAGCAATCCCAATTCTCTCAGCCTTTCCTCATGGCATCCTCATAACTCCAGCTCTGTCATCAGCTTCCTGTCCTCTGGATTCACTCCAGCAGCTCCAGGTCCTTCCTGTGCTGGGCCCCAGGACTGGACACAGCTCTGCAGGTGGGGTCTCACCTGAATGGGGCAGAGGGGAGAATCCCCTCCCTCACCCTGCCCATGCTGCTTTCGATGCAGCCCAGGATACAATTGGCTTTTTTATGGCTTTTCTTAAGGATTTCACATGGATTTTGTCTGTTACTGCTTTGTATTTCCAGGCATAACAAGTTCTGCAGCAGTATTTGTGGTGATTTAGGTTAAAGCCCTGCAGGTCACTAAGCTGAAGTGCACTGTTGCCACTTTCCTTAAAAGTTTACTGTATCCTAGTCTGTACCTTTCTGTGTGGAGTTTTACTCTTTGTGTGAAGCTGAGGATTTGCTGCAGCTCTTTAGAGGACAGCAGGAGGTGGCTGGAGTTAAACCCTGGGTTTGCCAGCACTGTCTAAGAATACAGTAAGGACTTTAGGTTTAGCAGTAGCACTGGTGTGTGTAGGTTGCTTCTGGCATGGTTTGGTTTTTCTGTTCACTCCTTTGAATACAACTGAAGCATAAAAGCAGTGTAGCACTACGCTTTAGTTGGCAAGAGAGAGCTGTGAAACTCTGTGATGGAAATGTGTGTGTATGTGGATCTTAAAAAGTTTCTGCAGATTTACTAACCCATGGAAATTCTGTTATTACAATAATGTAATAATGCATCTTAACAAATTCTGTGCATTATCATAAAGATACTTTTTAATTTCTTTCTCTTAAAAGCTTTTACTCCCTTCCTAAAAAGAGAAAAGGGAAAATATACTCCCTTGTTCAGTTGTGCCTGAGTATGTATATGGAACAATCTGGGGACTGTGATTCAGGATCTGTTATTTTTATTTGAGCTGCACTATTTACTTCCTTAAGTCTTAGTTGCTAAAGTTTTAAAAGAGCTAAAGGGGTAAATAGCAACTTATTAGTGTATATATTGGAGATCTTGTATTAGGATTGTGCCTTCCCAGGGTCACTCTATGTATAAATTAAGGTTTTTATGTCAGAACACTTGCAGGGAATAAATTGGTTCTGATCCCCTCAAAACTCTGGTGTTTGAAAAAGCATGGCAATAAATATAGGTGTGTATCTTATTTATACCAGAAGCCCACTCTTGTCATCTTAAGCTTTCTTCTGTGTAGCATTCTGTGCACTTGCTGTCATCATTCCTTTCCCTTCAACACAGATGCAGTCATTCCCTGTGACTTTTGTTGCCAGCACATACTGTGCTCTTTTTCTACAATTGTGTTGTGTTGTTTTCTTCTCTCAGCACCAGAGTTGTGAGAACTAAATTGAAAATCACTCTAGTGGAGTTGCTGCAGAGCTGTGTTTCCTCTTGAGCCCAAATGCATGTCCAGCAGTGATACCACAGCTAGGAATCTGTTGGAAAAAGATCTCTTGCTGTCTGACATGGCATCAGGTTTTTCCTGGGCTGAGGGATCCTCAAGCTTCTCAGTGTCTCTTGTTGTCTGCTCTGGACTGTGCTCTGTTCACAGGAGGTGTCACATAATACCAATATTGTAACAGCCTCAGGATTTTATCAGGATTTTAGTTCTGCTTTGTCACTTTGCGGAATATCTGAGAAGATAAAAATGTGTTTGTCTGCCAATGAAAGCAGTGCTTAAGAAGTAGTTTCTGTCTGTCAGGAGAAATCCTGATATTGAGTGCTCAATATGAGAAATCTCTCCTAATTTCTGGTAAATTGAGTAATTGGCATAATAGGGTGAGCTACAGGTGTTTAATGTCTTGGCATGACAAGAACTGAATGAGGCTTCAGAGCTGCTTTTGAAAACATGAGCTGCTCATGATTTTTTGATACAAGCATTGACTGGTTTGCACTTACTTGGTAGGACATTTTTTATCTCAGAGTCTACCAGGGGAGTGAATTAATGGTTTGTGCTCTCTTCTCCTCTCTTCTCTCTCCAGTTCAACAGAATGGAGTCCGACACTGCTCCTACACAGCATCCAGAAAAAACCTGTATGTCAACAAAAACACAAAGGTTATCTGTCAGGGTTTTACAGGCAAACAGGTATGTTTCTAACTCATTTTTTCTATCAGCCTTTCAGTCAGAAAGTTAATTGCTCAGAAAATGTAGTTATCTATGAAATGGATTATATACTCCTTTGTCTGTGTTGATAGGAAGCTGGACTTCTTCACCAGGAGGGTCCCTTCAGCACTGTAGTTTACATTCTTTGGCCCGAATACTTGTACAAAAGCTTGAAAGTTGGTTTTGAGTCATCTCTATTCAGTGCTTTTCATTTTTGTTTTTCATATTGTATACAGCTGAAAGGATTTCTCTGTAAAAGGTATTTGCAAAAAAACTGCAAAAACCTGCCCGTTTTCAAAGTGCTTTTTCCACAAATGTAGTTCAGTATCAATGGCTATGAATTCAATTTCTGTTTTTATTTCAGGATATTTAATAATTTTCTCAGATTCAATCTTTTACAAATTTGCAGGCAGAGAAGGCTGCTTTAGTAAAACTATCAGCTAGTCATGGATGAGCATGCCAGTTCCTTCTATTTCACTGTAGTGTTTGTCATCTGCCAAACTTGATGTGGAAAGAAGCTGTGTCTGCTGTGTTTGCAGGTGTGTTAGCAGCACACAACAGAAGACCCTTGAGCATGAAACTACTGTGCTATGATTGAAAAAAAAAAAAGCATATTAGCATATTCCAAATGTATTTAAAACATGGGGATGCACTCACCAAAATATCTGATTATAGATATATATGTGTAGTGAAAACTTCCCTTCTTACTGCAAATTTTAGTGACATAAATTGCCTTCAGAATTATAAATAACATCAAACTTTTTGGTTAAGTTTATTTGCTATTACATGCCTTCTAACTTTACTTATTTTTTTTTCTCAAAGGGCACCTTTCACAGCCAGCAGGCATTGGAGTATGGCACCAATCTAGTTGGAGGAATTTCTCCAGGGAAAGGGGGAAAAACTCATCTAGGTCTGCCTGTGTTTAATTCTGTGAAGGAGGTAATTTGCAGCAGTGACTGGAGGGCACAAAGTTTAAAGCTGGAGGGCTCCTTATGTCATTACTCACACTGGAGAGACAAATATTTGAGCTGAGGCTGTCACTGGGCACAGAGTGAAACAGAAGCCTTGTAAAAGAGGGAACATTCAGGGTGGTCAGGCACCACTTTGGCTTCCACTGTGAAGTTCACAGAGTCTGGGTACATTTGCTTTATGAATGCAGCTAGTTTCTGATTGATTCTGCTGTGCATGATGAATTTTTAGCAAACTGTTATGTAAGAGTATTTATGATGGTGATCACGGGGCAGATCCTTTCCAGACAGTGGTCAGTTCTCAGTTCCCTGGTTGTGCCCCATTTTCAGGGAATTTAACACTTCCTTAGATTATAGTAGATTAATACAAATCCTTAATTCATGCCTGAGAATGGATGTATTTTAAATGACTTGTTGTCAAACATTCTCTTCAGCCCCACTAAATGCACCGTGTGATTTTTTTTTGGTGTCTGTTGCAGGCCAAAGAACAAACGGGTGCTTCAGCCACTGTCATCTACGTCCCTCCCCCGTTTGCTGCTGCTGCCATCAACGAGGCCATCGATGCAGAGATGCCTCTGGTGGTTTGCATCACTGAGGGCATCCCCCAGCAGGACATGGTGCGGGTCAAGCACCGGCTGCTGCGGCAGAACAAGACCCGGCTGGTGGGCCCCAACTGCCCCGGAGTCATCAATGTAAGTGACCTCTGCCTTTGCTCCGAGGCTGAACTGTTCCTAGTGGTGGTTGGAATGTTCCATCTGACTTCTCCCACTCTTTCCTTAGCCTGGAGAATGTAAAATTGGTATCATGCCTGGTCACATTCACAAGAAAGGAAGAATTGGTGAGTTTTTGAATATTTATGCGTCATCTAAAACAAAAGTTTGGTGCTCTGGTTCTTCCTTGTGAGGCAAGGCACATCCTGCCCTGGAGAGAGCTGATAACACTGTGGGACAGCTTGTCTGTCCTCAGTTTGTACGTGAATTTTAGCATTATCAATCCTGAAAGCCCAAATCCAGAATTCTTCCATAGTACACTTGGTGCTGATAGTGGAGGCAAAGCAGTTGGGAATTCCTGTAGGTAATATGATTGACTTGGTGTCTTCAAAGGAGAGCCTTGAGGAAACTTCCATTTTTCTTGGGATTTGAGAGCACTAAGCTCTCCAACACTATTCCTTACAACAGCTTGGCTGCTTGGGGCTGGAATCCTACTCTTCTAGTGATCTCAGTACTGCAGCAAAGAGAAGAGACTACAGATAGTTTATGATATAATTTAGACAACTATGAAACCATTACAAGTGGAAGTGACAAATACTCCCAATTTTCAGGCAGTGTGGTAAAGAGCAGGAAGGCAGTGACTTGTTCATAACCAGTGTTGGTCACACCCCCTGTGTGTAATGAGTTACACACCCTGTTACATGCTACTCTCATGTCCTGACTTCTGTCAGGTCCTTGTTGTAAACTATAGAAATAACAGCTTGATTTTTAAATTTTCAAATAATGCAGCTCAGGAGCTGTAGAGACATTTCTTCTGAAATGTCCATTTGTAGTTACGTAGAACTTCAGAAATATTGCTATAAACAGCACACGCTGCTGTTGCCTGTCAGCAAGGTAACCAGTTTCACTTGAGCGTAGCAGTATCCTTTGCAGCATTTCCTTTTATTTTTTTTGATGGAAAAATGTGTGTATTGTGGGAAAGACTATTCAGTGCTATTGAATTACGGGGACTCAGTGCATTTTTTTAGCATGAGGAGCTCCCTTTGCTATGTGACCACTTCTGGCTTGAGACTAGACTGCACCTAAGGAATGCTGGAAGATGTGTTAGCACTCATGTTCCACCTTCAGCTTTTACAAGTACCCATAAACCTGGAATTGAAAAATCAAATAGCTGCAATTATGCCCTTTATAAAAACCACTGAGACATTGCTCAATGACTGTAAAAGGGAACATCAACCAGTGTTGCTCTGAGCTCCCTTCTGAATCAAAGTTCTGTTCTGATTTTTTAAATATATACAGGAAATGTGTTGCAGCCACAAGTTATGAGACTCTGAATGCAAGGCACATCAAGTGCAAAAGAATATTTAACATCTCGAATCCAGTAGCTGTGCCATTGCTGGAAATGTTTTTAATGGTGAGCCAAGAATCAAAGAATAAAAATGTGGATTTGCCACCCTCCCAGTTTCATCTAACGTGTGACCTTTGGTGATGTGCTCTGCAGCTTTCTATTACTGTGAGGCATCCAATAATCATCTGAATATACTGTGATGCAAGGCATAAAAATAGCCACAGTCTTTGGACTTTCATCTGTAGCTCCTCTGAGGCAATCTGATCTTAGTGGTAAACTGGGAGGCCTTTTCAAACACAGCAAGGAAAAAACACTGTGCTAGAACACATCTGAGCTGGCCAACAGTATAAATAGTTGATAAAACTAAGGTTCTTAGTCTAGTGGTGTATTTTCTCCTCTGTTCCTCTGTTCATGCCATGTATGTATTATGTTTCTTGTTATATGGCTTGCAGTAGATGGAAGATGGTTTCTATTTTTCCTGAAAACCTTTCCTTTTGTAGTGTTAACAGAAGTCTCGACTTGAAAAAATGAACAAAAAGCCATGCAAATATTCTGCCCCTGCTCTAAGTTCTGTGCTTCCTTCTATCCTGAATTTAAAACTGGGCTTGTGGTCTCTTGTGATATTGTAATGTGTTCTGTAGAGCAGCAACAAATACCTTAATAGTGATAACTTGCATTTGTGCAGCATTTTTCTGTTCTGGAAGATCTCTTGGTGTGCCTGACCATAATGGGGATGTGATTAATGCAGAATTCTTTTGTTAACTGTTGAGCTGCAACTCTGTTTCAAGACCAGTGCATCAGATACTCACATACAAGATAAGAAGTATTTTCTTTTATTTGCTTTTCAGTTTTCTTTCTTGGTAAGGCTTTTAGCAAAAATATTATTGACTTTCTGGGCAGCTTTAGTCCCTTGACAGTTAAGTGTCAAAAGATGAAAACCAAGAAATGGTACAGAAAGAATCTTACAGAATGTTTTGGCAAGGGCAGGTGGAAAACCTGGAATCTCATGTTGTTTACTGAGGTGATGTTCATGACTGTAAGAACAGCTGCCTCTAGTTATGTGCTGTGTTAGTGGTAAGTTTATCTTCTTTTCTTTCCTCAAGGTATTGTGTCAAGATCTGGAACCCTGACGTACGAAGCTGTTCATCAGACAACACAAGTTGGGCTGGGGCAGTCTTTTTGTGTTGGTAGGTTCCCTCAGAATTAGTCTCTTGGACCTAGACTAATCTGCTTTTTCTTCACAAGTGTAAATCCAAAATAATTCCTTTTTGCAAGTGTAGAATTTGCTGAATGGCAGTTGTCTTGACAAGTGGGATTCCTATGTGCTGTGCAGAGTACAGCTCTTCTCTGCTATCATTTCCACCTCAGATTAATTCAAGCCTTAAATCAGTTTTGAACAGAGAACTGTGAGCAGATATGATGTCAAACTGTCCCAAGAAGTTTAGTTCCAAAGGATTAGGGCAATCTTGGGCATTTAATTGGGTGTGTTAAGTAAATTCAGTTTTCATACACCAAAATTCTGGAGCTGGCATCTTGGTCCTGCTGTGCTCATAACATTTTGTTTATGGTTTGAAAAGTGAACACTCAGATATCAAAGATTTCTGTGAATTGTTGGGGAGGTATTTGGAGCAGGAATTTGACATGCTCTGACTTGGGTAGAACCTTCAGAGCTGCCTGTCTTACGAACCTTTGGGAGTACTCCTTATGCTGAAATTTACTTCTAAACTTCTGTTGTAAGTGCAATATCTTTATCCTGAGTTCCTCTTTTTTTGTGGTTTTAATTTTTTTTGTAGGTATTGGAGGTGATCCCTTCAATGGAACTAATTTTATTGACTGCCTTGATGTCTTCCTGAAGGATCCTCGTACTGAGGGGATCATATTGATTGGGGAGATTGGAGGAAATGCTGAAGAAGATGCAGCAGCATTTTTGAAAGAAAATAATGCCGTAAGTCTTAAAACACCCTGCTTCCAGACACTTTCATAGTTAGCCAGCTTCTTTTGCCACATCAAAGAGACCTCATTTCACTCTCTCATCTCTGTTTACAAAAACCACAAACAGTCATCGGGTTTTTAAAGAAAAAGAGTTGAAATTAGGAGTGTTGTCAAGGTTGGACTCAATGATCTTAGAGGTCTTTCCAGCCATGCTCTGTGAAGTGGAGAGCATTGTCAAATTTAGAATTTTATTCCTGTAACAATATTTGTAGTGATATTTTTTTTTTTGTAGTATGCATGGGTCTGTAGAAAGATTTAAAGTTTGTTTGCATTTGGTTTATGATGATGATCAGCAGAGGAAGTACTCCACACTTCTTTGTGCTGTGTGAGCTGTTTTATAAATTTGCCGGGCAAGTTAATATTTCAATAAAAAATGAACAAAATAAAGATGGACAAAATGAGCAATTTGTTACATGGAACTGCTTTTTCTCTCACCCTCCTCACACATAACACAATTATCTCTTCCAGGGCCCCAATGCTAAGCCAGTGGTGTCCTTCATAGCTGGCCTGACAGCTCCTCCAGGCAGGCGGATGGGCCACGCTGGAGCCATCATTGCTGGGGGAAAGGGGGGAGCCAAGGAGAAGATTGCAGCCCTCCAGAGTGCAGGGGTTGTGGTCAGCATGTCCCCTGCTCAGCTGGGCAGCACCATCTACAAGGTTGGTTCCTCAGGCATTGGCTCATCTAGAGCAAGAAGCCACTTTTGAGGGAATATGAGCTGGGAGTCCATCTCTTACCCAGACACTCTGCTAATTATGTTGCTTAAACATAAGAACTCTATTGGCTGGACAAGCTGAAATTACTACATAAAAGATATGTGCACACAGTCTTATTGAATATTGTTTTATAGAAGAGTAAATGTAGCAAAACAGAGAAGAGATTACATTCTGCTTTCAAGCGTAGCTACTTGTTGAAATTGTTTTCTGGATGCAAAGAGCCTGAATTAATGTAAAATATGAGAACATTATTTCTAAATAGGGTATTTTAGGAAGGAGAACTTTGGCATATAATTCAGAGTTATGGTTGAATATATGCTACTGAAAAATTGAGGTGTGGAATGGGATTATTTGCATTTTACTTAATTCATATCCAAAAAAGGGACGCCGCTTGAGGAGATGCATAATTCAGCTCTGTTAGGTATTTTTTGTTTCCTGTGGTGACTGTATAGTACAGGATCTCCACAGGCTGCTGTGGGATTCTTGCCTTCTTTTGTTGTGCTTTTTCTTTACTGAAATGAAAATCTTGATTTTGTTGCTTCCCTGGCTTGAGTCCTTTCCTGTAAGGATTCTCCTGCAGTTCTGATGCAGATTTGGTGTTTTTCAACCCCATTATGCTGGGAATAAATCTGTTCTTGACAGCATTGCAGTCTGGCATGATTATAGTCTGGCTTTCCAGAGCTGGCTTGTTAATGTGAGGTGGGAGAATGCTCAGTTTCCTTTCCCCTCAACTTGCACACTTTATGCTTTTTATATTTTAATTTTTAATACCAATTTTTAATTCTTAACATCAGATTTTCTTAGATACATACAAAGTAATTTGAAATAGAAGTATAATAGAAGCATTTTCTGTTTTTCCTGCTGGTAACATCTGTGTGCTCTTTGCAGGAGTTTGAGAAAAGGAAATTGCTGTAAGAGAAGACACTTTGGAACACTTTTCTTCAAAACACCAGTGCAGCACCCGGCCTTCGCTTATCTTTTGTCTGCTAATCTTCAGTTGCCCCAATGTCTTGACACTGGTCAATGAATTTGACTCAGAAGCCATAAACCTCCTGGCTAAACCTGTTTTGGTGTCTCCTTGTTTCAGACGTTGTCACCCTGTTGTAAATCACAGCAAATTAATAAATCTACTACTAAATCTGATCCATCTTTTGAATTCCTGAAGCAGAGCCGTTTCTTCGGTCATCATAAACAAAATCTTTTGTAACTTAAGCACTGCCCCTTTTTAAGGTGAAGTTTCTTGTAGAGCTGCTTTTAAGGATCAAGGCACTGACTGTATGCACATACCACACTTTGCTTTATTTTTAAGGAGTCCAGTCCTGCTCGTTCGTTGCTGGCCAGTACCTTTGAACAATAGGCCAAAGTTTCCGTCCATGAAACCAAAGCTGCTGGATCTGGAGGGATTGGTGTTGATCCACGTAGCTGGATATGCCTGAGGTCCAGACTTTCTCTTCAAGGCTGACTAGCCATGCACAGTGCAGTCCTCTACTGGCAAAGAATTCTGTTTGTTGTGTATAGAAATGGAATTGTTATTGATAAAAATTAATATAATTTCACACGCAAAATATATATTCAAAGTTGTCTGTAACTATGAAGATGATTTGGTCTTTAGCTGACATTACACTAATTTCCAATTTATCTTAACTAGCATTGCACTGCTTGTATTCTGAAATCCAAGTAACAATGGGACGTAGTAGGGAAGGATTATTATTCTCTAGAAAAGAATATAATAAGGTAACTTTATTGTTAACCACTCCCAGCACTGTAATGGAAATCCCTCTTTTTTTTACTGTGGATATAGCTCAAGTATTGTGCCTATAAATGTTGCAAGTTTCATCCGGATGGATTAAACCCCAGATTGCTTTATATAGAGGACTGAAAGTTCATGTAACCTGGCACTTGTTTAAAGCTAACCTTGTGTCCCATAAAGGTGCTGTTACAAAAACCTGTGTCGTTATTTATTTAAAACTATTCTTAGTTTTCCCACTCAGATAAATCCCTGTGGAATTTCTCTTCCTGAAGCAAGCAGGTGTGTCACTGCTGACATTTTTAGCTCCTAGAGCTAAGCCCTGGTGAAGTGCATAAGGGACAGGTCATATCTCTGCACACTGAAGGTGTGTCCATGCACTTGATGTATGGTCTGGTGATGCAGGCCTTGGGACACAGAGACCAGGTGCTGCATTGTTCACCTTGGCATGATTTACTGAAATGAACCTGACACGCTGTCACTGGACAGCTGAAAGCAGCGTTGAGCAGTAAATCATTTGATAAAGCCTATGACAGCAGATAAGGGTTTTTTTTACTAGATCTGCTCAGTTTTCTGGTGGTGCTTGTTTTAATCTAGAGCAAAAAGAATGATGGGTGCCCTTTAGAGAAATGGCACTGCTAAATTGTCTCAGTCTGTGCAAGAGTGCAATTCCTCAGCAGTGAGTGTCAGGGAATTGCAGCCAATCTTCTTATGAGCCTGATAATCAGAGTAACTCATGGCAGTGCTGTGCTGGTGCCCTTTGGGACGGGCACTGCTCAGTGATGAACTGCCTGGATTTCATCCCTGTAACAGATGTTCTTCCAGGACAGCTGAGGTGGAGGGAGTTTCCTGCTAGGGATTGCTCCTTGGAAGCTTTTAGAGGCACCAGCTATTTTAGGAGACAGTTATAAACTCCAGTGATTGCTGCACCTTGAGAAAGTGTTTCCTTGTGCCTTGAGATCTGAGGATGGGTTTAGCAGTTCACCCCTGGTTCTAAGGTTTGCAGCAGAGTCCAGTGCTGTGCCTCAGCAGCTGCCTGGACCTGCTCCAGCCCGGGCAGCAATTTAACCTGGCATTGATGTCACCTCAGGATGGAGAAAGACCCTGACCTTGTCTGATAGAGAGGTTTGGTTTGCACAGTTTTTTCTTGCTGCCTAAAAATGTGCACTTGACAAATATCAGCTAATTAATGACAGCATCTCTTTGGAAAACATTCACATCTGTTTAGTACCATATGTTCTTGTGGATAAATATTTTGAGTAATCTGATCTGGAAAACTGTTTATTTATTCTTTTTAATGGCAAAACTTAAATTAGTGTTGAGCCTTAAAGCAGTTGCTGCTTTATAACGTAATAGTTAACCTATAGAACTATAACCTGGTAGAACCAAGGGAGATCTTGTGTGCAAGAGAAACAGTGCCAATGTTGGTGTTTCCATATTTTGTGGAATAGTCCTTTTTGTGTTTCTTGATCTACACTTGACAGTGTTGTCAATCCATGAATCACTTTCACTTTTGAGAGATGAATTCTGTAAGTTCATTTTGGTCAGGGAAGTTTATTGCCACGCTGACTTTCAACAGAGAGAAGGATGTAGATCCCCTTGGGTTTTTTTCCTCTTACTGGACATTATGTAGTTCTGAATCATCCCTAACACTTTCTAGTGACTGGATTCCCTGGTAGCAGCCAGGTGTCAATGCAAACTGGGCCAGAAAATGCAGGATCTGAGCCATGAGAGATCCATTTCAAGAAGAACTTCAGACTGACTTCTGTGCTGGTGGTTTCAAAGCAATGCCCAGTGTGTGGTGTCCAAAGTCTTAATTTTGCTGGAAGCGTGGAATTAAATCTTGTGCTGCAACACAACTATTTGCTCAGTTTACCATCACCTTTGGCTTCCCTGTCCCAGTGCCTGTTGCTGAACAGGATTAGATGACAGCTTTTCCTAGGAAGGTCTGTCTGATACCATGGGCAGGAACCTGCAGGTGATTTTGGAGGGTGGCAGAAGGTTCTGGGTGTTGTACACAGTGGGCTGTTCCTCCTGGAGCATCTGTGCAGTGCTGAGACAGCCTCTAGCTTTGGGATGACTAGAAATAGCTGGTGAAGAGGGAAGAGTCCAGGTTTGATGCTTTCCACAGAAATTTTAACACCAAAAAACCCCAAAAAGTCTTGGACATCAACTTGCAGCACTCCAGTAGCAATTAAATGAGGTTTATGCTACTGGCCATATTGTTAAATAATTGTTTTTCCTGAGTTATTGAACAAGGGGTTAAAACTATTTCTCAACCAAAGATTATATCCCAGTTAGTTAATTAAGGCTACAAACAAGAGCATATTTGGCAATTGCTGTTTGATTTGCATCCAACCTTTGCTCTGTGCAGTCCAAGGCTCTGAGGACCCTCACAGAGGCTGATTGAGGTGAGTGGTGGGGGTAAGGTATTTCACAATGTAGGGTAAATAATGCACAACCCTGAAATTATCTGCCACTTCCTCCTTTCCTGCCTGGGTGCATGATGAAGCCTGGAGCCCTGTGACTGAATGTGTGGTGGAGGTGATTCTGTGATACAGCAAGGAAAACCTGTTAGGTACCATTGTTAGGGAGAATTTACTTCAGGATGTCCCCTCTCCTTTTATCTCTGTGAGTTTGGTTTAGTGTTGAATTGACATGAAATCAATGCCAGCAATTTTGGAAAATTTCTTGACTCAGAAATACTGAAACTCTTTCCATTTTCTAAAGGAATTTGTCAGCTTGTTCCACTTGAACTTGAGGTACAAACAGGATATTTTCCTAGAAGTGGAAATCTGAGAGTTTTGCTCAAGTTAAAAGCCTCAGGGAGATTTCTCAGAGTTGCACCAGGGTTCTGGTTTGTTTGTTTGGTTAGTTTTTTTGTGTGTATGTGGTCTGTTGTTTGGATTTTTTTGTTGCATGGGATTTTTTGTTGTTTATTTGTTTGTTTTTGTTGGTTTGCTTTGGTTAGTGTTTTTTTTTTCTTTTTTTTTCTTAAATTTTATTTTTGGGGGGCAGGGGTTGGTAGTTCCAGGTCCCTGATACTTGTTGGACCTGCTGACCATCCATACCTCACTCACAGGGCTCAGACCCAGACAATTCTCTGCCACTTAGAACATCCAAAAACTCTCATTAAATCTGACTTTATTTCTGCAGAAGTTACATGATCTCAAAAGAAAAGACAAGAGATGACTCTCTGTTTACAAAGCCACATAAATTTCTAGGACAGGGAGTAAACCTGTGTTTCTGAGCTGTAATGAGTAACCACGCAGAGCAGTGCTGGTGCTGGGAGTAGGAGCAGTATCCTGTAACGATGTCTGTGCTGTGTAGATGCATAATTGAGAGTCTCTTAAAACCTCTTTTGTTGTTGTAAAAGACAGCACAGCAAATTTATAGTTTCCAGCACATCTGAATCAGTACAAGTTTGTTGCTTTGAAAACCCCACCAGTCTCCAAGCCTGCTCATTCCATTTGCTGTTTTGCTCTCTAGGTGGCAGGTTTTGACTCCAAAACATGGGTTTGGTTCCTGCTCTGAACTCAGACTCAAAGTGTGCTGGACAAATAAAAGATGGAAGCAAACCACTACCGCTACTTTATTCTTTCTCTGTGTTAGATTGATTTATGATAGTATCCTTTTCTATGAGTTGGAGAGAGGTGTTAAAGAACCTGCCTGGTTTTCTCATGGTGTTCTCACTACTCTCTCACTACTCTTGTGATGCTGAAATGTCTTCTTGTTTTTCTTGCAGTATGTTGTCTGAACTGCGTGGGTTTGTCAGTCAAATGGGACCTGCCTTAGAGAAATACCTGTCTTCATTTTGAAACAGGCAAGAAATGGCTCAGACTGTTTCTTCAAGGACTTAGCAGCTCTGACTTTACTTTTTTTTTCTTTTATTCAGTTTGCTCCTTGGAAGAGAGGCATCCTCCATGCTGCTGTGTCCACCAGGCTCTGTAACCTCAGGGCAGTGGATCAGCTGTGCCCTCAGGGCTGGGAGCAGTCCTGCTCCTCTCAGTGCCAGCTGGGTTTGAGACCAGTTTGGTTTAGTTGGAACCAACCCAGTCCTGTGAGAGGTGTCCCTGCCTGTGGCAGGGGGGTTGGAACTGGATGAACTTCTGAGGTCCCTTCCAACCCAAACCATTCTGTAATTCCATGATTTGAGGTCTGAAGTGCCAGCCCTTGCATGGAAGAGGCTGCCAAGGCTCTTGTGGTCCAGGAGCTGTCTGGGAGCAGCTGCTGTGTGTGTGGAGCCAGGTGTGTGCATGGACAAGTGTCTCTGAAGGATTTGTACCCTGAGGGACCGTGCCTTGCTCAAGGTCACCCTCTCCTCCCTTGTTCTGCTTTCAGACTGCAAGTCTAATTACTGACCAGAGCCTTAGCTACAAGGAGAGAACACAACAGT